TGTGGATTCAGGACAAAATGCATAAAAAATTACCAGTATTATGTCAAGGAAAACTTAGTAAATGTCAGGTGTATTTCCAGGTCTATTCAGTCCTTTGTAGTAAAGTTTTTTTACTCTCAACAGTTCCATCAATAGGAATCTGTTGAGACCTTTTTCCCTATATTTCCGGAAACAATTCACTACAAACAAATTACATACAGACACACAGATCTTCAAATCGACATATGAAACAAACACACCGGAGAAACCAAAAATCACATTTGCGCTTATGGTAGCCAGTGCCATAGGGAAGCCCAATTTCCCCATGGGGCTGACTAACCACGGATGGCTCTGTCCTAAATCACGTTGGACGCCAAATCTGTTATAGGACAGGGAGAGGGTCAGCCCAAACCCTGCAAACCTGCCTATTCTAAATGGGTTCTGCCATCCGCCGCATCAACACAAAACATGACACTTTAATGGGAAGGATCTTTAATAAAAACTAGGAAACAATACAGGTGAGGCAAAGAGTCTAGTTTCTAAATGAAGCACCCAAAGTTACCCATCCCCTCGTGGGTAAAACTCCATCCATATGGGGTCGGCCCAGAGCAAGGCCCCAAAGCCTGCCACAAGTCTAAAACATCTTCCAGTGGGGACCCACAGAAAAGGGTCACAAACAACCGGACAAGCCCGGAAGGAAAAGAGCAAAATCAACATCCAAATAAAAGCTGCCATTGTCACCTCCCCATGGGTCTCACCCACATCTGTGTCACCCAGTCCACGACCAAAAGACAAGCGCAGTTTCTTCACATGTCTCTAGGCTCCATGCGCCTCCTTCAGGTCTCCTGGCTCCATCCTGCTTCCTTCCTCAGTCTCTTCTTCTGCTTCTCCTCTTGCTGCTCAGCTCCACCCTCCCTTGGGTGGGGCAGGGAACCTCCCCCTTTCCTGGGGACCACCCTGTTGCAAGCGCAGTAAAGAAAAGAAGAGCCAGGCCAAGTTTCTCAAAGGCCGGGAAAATTTATTGCGCCCCTGGGCAGGACTCATGGACCCAAGATGGGGGTTTGGTGAAGTTGCCCACATTGCCAGGGAGAGGCAGACTTTTATAGGGTGAGGAGAGGTTGGTGGGAAACTGGGTTTGCATGGCGGGGAAAAAGTCTGTAGGGCACAAAGAAAAGATTTGTAGGAAGAAGTTTACTGTCTGATTTTTCCAGGTGGGCTGCCACATTCTTGCCCCCCTGGTGGGCTTCCTGCCCCTAGTGGGCTTTTGCATTCCAGCCCCCTGCATCGACCTTTCACTCCCCAAACATGTGCATGTATGAACACATGCCACACACACATTCACATCCACAGGGACACACACACCCACACCAGTGAAAAGGAAAGTGAGTTTTATCACAAGTAACAAAGTTCCCAAACTATGGTGCATTAAAACAGATAAAAGCTTCTCTCTCAGATAAAAATCTGGGTGTAGGTAAAGCAAACTCTGTTCCAACTAAGCGGAGCTTCCTTGTTTCTCCACCTTGCAAAGCCTCCATTCCCAGGCATCACTCCAGGACTTCATCCGCAGGCCAGCCAGCAGGAAGGTGGGGAAGGGGGAGGAACACAGCAACTGTCCTTTGAGGAAGTTTCCTAGAATTTCCTTACACTTGTGCTTACAGTTCTTTGTTTGCTTTGGTTTGGTTTTCCTAAAGATTTATTTATTTATGCATACAAGAACTGGGGTGTAGGCCAGAGGTAAGGGGATCACCAGCAACAGAGTTGGGAGCAAAACAGGTGGATCTACTGAAATACACTGCTGAGGAGAGCAGCGGGCAAGACAAGGGAAGTCTGCTGTGCCATGTGGACCAGCCTCCTAGCTGGGGATCGAACTCATGCTGCGGTGGTTGGCATTAGCTTCTTAGAGCTGTGTCTTTAACCCCTGTGCCACCAGGAAGGCCCCTGTACTTACAGCTCTTTGACGAAAACCTAATACCATGACCACATTCAGTACCAACAGAAGCTCAGAGATACCATTTTTATTTTTTTTTAAAGATTTATTTATTTATGCATACAAGAGCTGGGGTACAGGCCAGAGATGCAGGGGTGGGGGGTGAGAGGATTCACCAGAGACAGAGCAGGGAACTGAACAGGCAGACTGACGAAATACACTGCTGAGGGGAGCAGCAGGCACAACAGGAGAGGTCTGCGCGCCATTTGGGTTTCTCCCTGGCCAGCCGGGGATCGAACTTGTGCTGCAGAGGCTGCAGATTGCCTCATAGTGTGGTGCTTAACCCCCTGCGCCACCAGGGAAGCCCCCATTTTCATTTTTCATAGTGTGTTTCCAACTGACACATTTAGGTTTTACTGCTGAGAACAGAGGAGAAAATGAATATTGGTTGGCAACTACTAGCAAGTCACCAAAGGTTTCCTCCCTGCTATCCCCTCTATGATATAATTGTTATAGGACAGGGAGAGGGGCAGCCCAAACCCTGCAAACCTGCCTATTCTACATGGGTTCTGCCATCCGCCGCATCAACACAAAACATAGGAGACTTTAATGGGAAGGAACTTTAATAAAACTAGGAAACAACACAGGTAAGGCAAAGAGTCTAGTTTCTAAATGAAGCACCCAAAGTTACCCATCCCCTCGTGGGTAAAAGTCCATCCATATGGGAATGGCGCAGAGCAAGGCCCCAAAGCCTGCCACAAGTCTAAAGCATCTTCCAGTGGGGACCCACAGAAAAGGGTCACAAACAACCGGACAAGCCCGGAAGGAAAAGAGCAAAATCAACATCAAGATAAAAGCTGCCATTGTCACCTCCCCACAGGTCTCACCCACGTCTGTGTCACCCAGTCCACAACCCAAAGACAAGCGCAGTTTCTTCACGTGTCTCTAGGCTCCATGCGCCTCCTCCAGTTCTCCTGGCTCCATCCTGCTTCCTTCCTTCCTCAGTCTCTTCTGCCGCTTCTCCTCTTCCTGCTCAGCTCCACCCTCCCTTGGGAGGGGCAGGGAACCTCCCCCTTTCCTGGGACCACCCTGTTACATAATGTGTGGGATTTCAGGGCAGATTCTGTTATAGGGCAGCCCCGATATTGAATGGATTGCCTGGCTGTGGGTCCTCACCCGTGCGCTTGAAAGGGACTTATTAATACTCCACTACAGGCATACACAAAAGGTTAATAAAAGGTTTATTTACAAGGGAGAAGGAAATAAGAAAATGTACAACTCAGGGAGAAAATAGGGAAATAAAGTCTTTAACGCGTCCTACCTGATCCGCCGACCTGGAAACCCAAAAAACACTCTCAGAGCTGGCCGGATGCTAAGAGCTGGCAGAGAGTCAAAATGGGGGACCCCTCCAAAGCCCACCTGTCTGCCTTTTCTATCCACCTGGCTGCTTAACCCCACCCTCAGGTCCCAGCCACCTTCCCTTTGGTGGTGATGGGATTTGGAGTTCCCAGTGTCTTTGGCTTTGGCCTGGGGTGGGGGTGGAGTCCACAAAGCCTGTACGGAATTAGCTTTAGGACATCATTTTCCCCCTAACAATTCCTTTCCTTCCTCACCAACCAACACTACCTTTGCCTGTATATTTTAATCCACCAAAAGACACATATGCATGTATCTAAACACTCATCTCCTGCTCAAAGGAGGAAATAGAGGAGCAATTAAGGAAGAACAGACTGACTTTCCCAATTTAAGCTACTGAGTACTGTGAATTTGAATAGGAGGATCTGAGCCAAATTCTAATCCTCTTCTTGTGTTTTGCTATCTAAATTGAGACCATAGTCAGTTTTAATTGAACATAAAATCTCCTGTTTGATCCTAAGTGGTAGAATAGGGTTTTCATTTGCTAGTAAGTGGATTTTGGATTTCTTCCCAAAAGAAGCTAAACTTTAGTGATAGTTGCTATATTATCTCATTCAAACAAAGGTCTGACACAATTAGTATTCTCTGGGGCATACCACCCTCTGCGAGTAACACAATCAGTAATTTAAATATAAATCTTAGCTGCAAACATAGCCCTGGTTATCTAGGCAGTTGTTGTCATACCCAACAAGGCTTTAGAGGTATCTTTGAAATCTCTAGTTTCAAATGCAGCAATGCAGGCAGAGCACACCCACCCCCACCCACACATCCCTTCCATCTCTATTTTACCCATTGGAAACATTGAGATGTTGTCTAAAGAAAGATTTTGACTGTTTTTAAACATCTGATCTCATTGTTCCCAACCCAAATTCTAAATATGGATTTATTTCTTGAGGGAACTTCATAACTTTGAAGTCCCTAAACCTTTTAGGAGCTGGGGAAGAGGGTGAAAAAGAAGACATTTGTGAAAACTTCTACTGACTTGTCATGATGCCATGTTTTTTCAAAACATATTTAACATATTTAGAAATTCACAATGATGTTTGCAAAATAGATACTCAATGTGTCTTGAGATTATATTGATACTTTAATCTCTCTGGCAGCCACATATGTGTATGATTGAAATTATTCCTTTTTTTTCAGTCATTTAAATCTTGCTTTCTAATTCTTAAGTATTTTTGTGTGAATATATTTATCACCTAAAAAAAAAATGAGTGTTTCTATGTAGGTCAACATGTTATAGGGCAGCCCCGATACAAAACAAGGTGCCTGGCTGTGGGTCCTCACCCGCGCACTTAAAAGGACTTATTAATACTTTACTGCAGGCCATTGATGACTTTGGTCTGGAGTGGGGGTGGGGTCCACAAAGCCTGTATGGAATTAGCTTAGAACATCCCTTCCCCCTAACAAACATACACAGAAATGATCACTGACTAAAAAACCTTGTAAATTTGCATATTACTGCTTTAACACAACTAACTATTGTTTGTTTCTGTTATCAAAATTCTCTCAGCAGTCCCACATCACCTGTCAAATACTCCATGGGGAAAAAAAGAGAGAAAACTTTGGTAGTCTTTTTGTTGTTATTGCTGTTAATTACAAAGCTCCAATCTTTTCTGGTAGATTAGCTATTAAAGTGAAAATCACATCTCTAAAGGAATAAGTGAAGAATTCCATTCTAAATAAAATACTCTAAGAACTTATTTTTCTCATCATCTGATTCTTCATTTTCCAGCTCATATTTCTTCATGGCAACAAAACATCAAATAAAAGTTTCTCTGAGAGCCTGGCTCAGACATTGATCTCCCAGTGCCACAAGGGCATCTTCCAGTTGCAAAGGGATCTGGAAAGGCTTTGAGTGATAAGCACTATGCTGTCATCTGGACCAACCAAGACACCATTGCTGCCAAGCTTATAGTAACAGTTGCAGCAGCACCAGGTAAGGATATGCTGTGGCTAAGCCCATTTTATTTTCTATCTGGGCACATTTTGCACCATGACACTTGATATTATTATTTTTTTATTGTTTATTCTTTCCTTCAACATTTTATTTTTATTTTTTTAAAGGTTTATTTATTGATGCATACAAGAGCTGGGGTACAGGCCAGAGGTGAGGAGGGTGAGAGGATTCACCAGAGACAGAGAGGGGAACAGAACAGGATGATCGACCGAAATACACTGCTGAGGGGAGCAGCGGGCAAGACAGGAGAGGTCTGCTGCTCAATGTGGGTTGCTCCCTGGCTGGCCGGGGATCAAACTTGTGCTGCAGAGGCTGCAGACAGCTTCATAGGTTGCGTCTTAACCCCTTGCGCCACCATGGAGGTTTTGTTAGGGGGAAAGGATGTCCTGAGCTAATCCCATACAGGCTTTGTGGACTCCACCCCCACTCCAGACCAAAGCCATCAGGACATTGGGAAAGACAAATCCTGTCACCACCAAAGAGAAGGTGGCTGGGACCTGAGGGTGGAGTTAAGCAGCCAGGTTGGGTATAAAAACCAAACACATGGGCCTTGGGGTCTCTCGCTCTGTCGCTCGCCTCCTGGCTTCACAGCTCCTGGCTCGCAGCCAGCTCTCAGAGTGCCATTTGGGATTCCAGATCGGCAGATCGGGTAGGACGCATTTAAAACTTTACCTCCCATTTTTCTCCCTGAGCTGTACATTTCCTCATTTGCCCTTCCCTTGTAAATAAACCTTTTATTAACCTTTCGCGTGTGCCTGCAGTCGAGCATTGGTAAGTCCTTTTAAGCGCGCGGGTGAGGACCCACAGTCAGGCACCCTGTTTTGTATCGGGGCTACCCTATAACAGTTCGACACTTGATGTTAAAAGGACAGCCATTACTGCTAAATCCCCATGTTGGAGGCACACTCTCCTTCAGTCTTTACTCTCCTTGGATTAGCACTTTTGGCAGCTAACAGCAAGAGCCACCAGGCAGCTGAGAGCAATGGAGTGTTTCCAGGGTTCTACCAATCATTTTTTCCCAGTGATTGTGAGCTCCTTGATTCCAAAACTTCTGCATGTTTTTCCTTCTTTTTTAAGATTATTATTTTTTTTTATAGAAAAACTAAGGTGTAGGCCAGAGGTTTGGGGAGTTAGAGGATTCACCAGAGACAGAGTGGGGAGCAGAACAGGCAGATCTACTGAAGTACACTGCTGCAGGGAGCAGCAGGTGAGACAGGAGAGGTCTGCTGTGACATATGTGGGTTAGCTCCCTGGCCTGGGTGGCACTCAGGCTGTGGTGGTATTATTGCTGAGACTTAACCCCTAGGACACCAAGGAGGCCCTCAGAGCAAGTTTTTCTTTCTTTCAACAGCCTAGAGACTATGAGACAAAATTCCTGAATTGCAGGACTAGGTCACAATGAAAAATTTGATAATGTGATTATATATATATTTCTTTGCCATTTCTTTGACACCTGTTCAGAGGGTAAATGTATTATCAGCTGAACGGATGCCAGACAGGCAGAAAACAGATTTCCATCTCACTGTGTCTGGTAAAGGACGAAAAGCTCTCAACTTTGGCTCCAGTGTGAAATAAGCCATCAACAAGTTCCTGAAGGAAGCGCTGGTCCTGATTATTTAGTAATGGTGATGCAGGAAAATATATGGTCTTTGAATTGATAATCAGACACACAAAAACACAAAAATCATAGATGAAGGCAGAGAGCAGGGCAAAGCCAGAATCCTGCTGCTGACGCAGCAGTCTGCCTGCAATGCACCTTGGGGAAGTCAATAGAAGCTCTTCAGCCACGATGAATGTGTCACAAATCACTCTTGCAATTCTCTCAGCCCATGGCAAAACTCTAATGGTTGATAACTCTGGCATTAGGGCTAGGTCACTATTAAAACCTATTGCTCTTATGTGATCCACTTCACTGTTCTTAGGATTCGGTATCAATTCAAGATAACCTTGGGGCATGTAAACACCATTGATCACTTTTTCCTAAATAAATTAAAGGATAGAGAAATCAGGTTTTCAAACTTGGAAACAAACAAGGGAGGAAGAAGAAGCTTTGATAATGAGGGAAAAAAACATGTTTAGCATCTGTTAGTTAATACTATTTTGATATCAGATAAATTTTAAATATCTTAAAACCCCAAGAGATACTTTTATAAGCAACTCAGTATTTTTCAGTTTTGAAGTCTTTATATGCTCTTAGATCTGAAACATCAGTCATCAAAAAAGGTATAATGTTAAAGAAAATATCTTCCTAGCAAAAGACAAAGGTAAAGCTTTACGGAATTTTTGAAATAATTATAGTCAGAAGTACCTTTTAAAGAAGTTTTTTAGGGCCTCCCCGATGGCGCAGCGGTTGAGCGTTGGGTTGCGAAGCTGCCCGCGGCCTCTGCGGTGCCGGTTCGATCCCCGGCTGCTCCCCGGCCACCGGAGGAGGGTCCCACATGGCGCGAAGACCTCTCCTGCCGCCCGCTGCTCCCCTCTGCAGTGTACTTCGTTCCTTCTGCCTGCTCTGCTCCCCGCTCTGGCTCTGGTGAATTCTCTCGCCCTCCCGCGCTTCTGACTGTACCCAGTGCATGTATAAACAAAACAAACAAACGAACAAAACAAAATAAATAAAACATGCCTCTATAAAAAAAAAAAAAAAGAAGTTTTTTATTTTATGGCATAGTTGAGACTATTTCAGTGAAGCTTTATTTGGGCTTAGTGTACTTTAATTCCCATAGTTAACTGACTCTCAAAAATCTATAATAAAGAATCCTCTTCAGTCCTCTGAGAACAGACTGTTGCCAGCCTTACAGCATACAGGACAGTCGTCCAAACAGGCCTGCTGACCGCTGAGCTACTCTTATCCATTTTCACCTAAGAATGAACTGCCCCACTCTCTGATATTCCTAGAACCACTCCCTGTGATGTGACCCATACCCCTAAAGTTATAATTTCCAAAATTGGAAAGTATTTGGAGCCATCAAGTTAGCATGACCGGATATCACCAAATTTGCTTTCTAGGCCTAGATCTTTCATTAATTACTGGCATGGAGTTGAACAAGCCACTGCATTAGGTCCCTCAGCTCACAAGAGTATAACATGAAAGTATTAGACTAGATGACTGCTTAGGCACTGTCTAGCCATATACTTCTAGGGTTCAATGGACTTGGTCATTTATTTAATTTCTACTATGTGCCACATAATAAGGAAGTGATGAGGTTATCAATTTAAACAGACACATTAGCTATATTAATGGGTGGATAAGAAAATTAACTGACTATAAAGTTTGGTTCGTATAATGTCAATGAATACCGCAAAGTTGGAAAAACATAGTTACATTCTGCAAGACTGATTGTTAATGATGTTACCTCCAAATCCCAAAGAGCATGGCTAACAAAGAGAAAGTAATCCTAGCATAAACAATCGACTGGTCTGTTCTTCTGCCTCTGACCATGAACCTCTGACTCTTGTACTTTCTACCATTTCTACACATATTTTCAAATGTTATTTGATTTCACTGATCCAAATCTGCTGTTATCAGTAATAAATGGAATAAGTTGTACACTTCTTAATGTCTCCTTAATATTTCAACTCACTCAAGCACCTGTGTGGGTATGTTTGTATAAATATATAATGCATCCTGAATTTATACACACATACCTTGTGGAATTTTAATGTACTTAAGTAGTACTTTTAGAGGACTTTAATAGACAATCTCTTAATTCATATTTTCACTGTAAAAAATAATATTTCCCTACTTGTCAGTTTTTTTAATTTGAAAACCTACAAGTTAGTTCTGTTGTATCTATAATGCCAGTGTCTTTTATTCATAAGGCTTCCAAGAGTTTCTGTGATTTAAATCTTTTCTTACATTCATTTGATTGTGAATAATAGAATACAACTGGTTACCATTTCACCCTAATAGACCTTGAAATGTAAAACAGCACACTACTTTTCAGGGATTTTAATTTGTATTTTTCTCAGCACTCTTTCTAACACTGTTATTTTCTTTATTCTTTTTTGAACATTCTAAATTTAAACTACTCTTTATTAAATTGTGGGAAATAATTTATAAGCATATCTTGTTCAAAACAATAAATTACAATATTTATGGACATAAAGCACTAGAACAGCTTCACACACTATAGATCATCATGAATTCAATAAAAATTCTTGCAGAATAGCTCAAATCCTTAACAACTGAAATTTGGAACACAGTAAATGTCACTTTTTCAAATAACCAGATTTATGAGTTGTATAAGCATGTTTTGATTAAAATTAGAAAGAATACACCTTATATGCATATAATTTAAATTAAAAACCAATCCTTTGATAGAACAGAAACAATGTAAGTTGGCTGTAAGGTCTAAATAAGTTAATAAGAATAGTCACCACCAATTTATAATAGGTTTATCCTTTGGATTTTTCCGAAGTTTTCCCTCTATTCTTAATAAATGTTTTTGTTTAAAAAATCAATATTTTTTGATTTACTAAGAAAGACCATAGCTCAAATGAAGACTGAAAGGAAATACAAAGGTTAAGAAGGTATAGTAAAAACAAACCCTGAGACTGGAAATAAAGAATCACAATCTGATAGCCAGCTTTGCCATTAACTGCCTGTACAAACTTTAGAAAACTTTCCTTAACTTTTCTGGTCTTCATGTCCCTCATCTATAAATGAAGAGAATAGGTTATATCATCTCTTCTATCCCTTCATGGTTGAACTTTATAATTTTCAAAACATTTTCTACAAATAGTAAAATATTTAATATTATTTTATAAAGATTGAAATTGCTTTTCACTAAGCCCCAAGTAAATTAGAATTATTGACTCCACATTTTGTTTCATGAATTTCCCACACAGAATTTTATATATATGCAAACACACAATGTTTAAATAGATTTGTGAGGATGAGACTATTTTTAATGTCTATTCATAATAAATTTTCAAAATGAATTATTTAGTCTTAAAGTACAAATATTCATGTTACTATTTATACCTTCACAAATTCTGAAATGAATTTAAAGTATTGTCAAAAATATAGGGCCTCCCCGGTGGCGCAGCGGTTGAGCGCTGGGTTGCAAAGCTGCCCGCAGCCTCTGCGGCGCCGGTTCGATCCCCGGCTGCTCCCCGGCCAGTGGAGGAGGGTCCCACATGGCGCGCAGACCTCTCCTGCCGCCCGCTGCTCCCCTCAGCAGTGTGCTTCGGTCCTTCTGCCTGCTCTGCTCCCCGCTCTGGCTCTGGTGAATTCTCTCACCCTCCCGCGCTTCTGACTGTACCCAGTGCATGTATAAACAAAAAACAAACAAACAAACAAATAAAGAAAGAAAGAAAACATGCCTCTATATAAAAATAAATAAATAAATAAATAAATATATGTATAGATATTGTGTAATCCTTAAATAAGAATGAAATAATAATTACTAGGTAATGGAATGTATTAGAAAACTGGGGCTAAGAATAAATATAGCAATTGAGAGAGAGTACAATGAGTTATATTAAAAATCTCATGATAAACAAGCTATTTCACCTAGCTAAACTTGGGGTGGGGGTGCGGGGGACAAGGGGAGAAGTGGTTCTTATATGTACGGTATTGAACGAAATAATGGTTAAGTATTTTCAATAGCAGTTTGAAAATAAGAAAAGGATGCAGACATTTTCTCTTTATGTCACTTCTACCAATCCTACCAAATGTTGGAAGCATATTAAATTACGCTTGCAAAGTAGTTCTACACTAATATTCTAAATCTGTAGCTTTTACATGCCATGAGTGAAGTAAATTATTAGAAGTTAACAAAAACTGAATAGCAATTGGTTTTATAGTGAAGTCACTCACAAGTGCCTACCTGAAGTGCCAGGTATGTTTTCTCATTGTTTTTCTTTTTTCTTTTTTTTTTTTTAATTTATTTATTTATGTATACAAGAGTTGGGTGCAGGCCAGAGGTGTGGGGAAGGGGGGTTGAGAGGATCACCAGAGACAGAGTGGGGAGCAGAACAGGCAGATCCACTGAAATACACTGCTGAGGAGATACCCAGGCAAGTGAGTAGAGGTCTGCTGTGCCATATGTGGGTAGCTCCCTGGCCAGGGATTGAACTCGCACTGCAGTGACTGCAGATAGCTTCATAGTGCTGTGTCTTAACCCCTTGCACCACCAGGGAGACCCTGTTGTCTCATTGTTTGAAAAATTTCATGTGAATTAGAAATGGCCTGTCCACAGTAAATTTCAAGTTTTATTATCAAAATTAAGTAGCATATGTTCTTGTCTGGATGAAGAGGAAGCTATATCTTCAGGCAAGTCTAAAGAATGTCTTAAGAAATAAAGTTAAGGGACCTCCCTGGTGGCGCAGCGGGTTGAGCACAGCACTGTGAAGCTGTCGGCAGCCTCTGCAATGGCTGTTCAATTCCCAGCCGGCCAGGAAGAATCCCACATGGTGCATCAGACCTCTCCTGTCTCGCCCGCTGCTCCCCTTAGCAGTGCATTTCAGTCAGTCTGCCTGTTATGCTGCCCACTCTGTCTCTGGTGAATCCCCCTCACCCTCCCACGACTCTGACCTGTACCCCAGTTCTTGTATAAATAAATAAATCTTTAAAAAAAAAAAAAAGAAAGTTGAATCTGTTGAATTTCATTTAAAAAATATTTTGAAGAAGCCCAGTTTTCCCTAACATAAAGCAAATGAACAAAATTATAATTCAATATTAAAGTAATAAAAGGAAGATAAAATTTTTTAAAAATGAACTTAGACAAAGCTTAGCTCTAATACTTTAATACTTAGTACTGACATGTCCTTAAATTAAAAAATGATGTTTCAACAATTCAATGATTAATCAGTGATAACAAATACATGACATAAACTAATAAAAAATTTTCAGAAAATCTCAAAGTATATCCAAAAATATACTATTTCTTAATGTTACTATTTTCAAGGGTTTGATATTCATTAAGTCATCCAACAACAATAGGGTTTTTTCTTATCAGAATTAGAAGCTAAAAGGGATATGCTTTTTATCTAGCAAGTTCATTCTATTTAATCACTTCATTCCTTTCATATTTGCTCTTGGGTCTTCTGTTGCAATTTTCTCATGTCAAACAAACTATAATCTTCATAATTGCAGTAAGAAAAAAGATAATTCTGTGGAGGGAAATTATTCAAGGAAGGGCAAAAATTACCAGTCTTAATTAGTTTTGTAATTCTGTTGGGTAAAGAATTGCTGCTTGGTAACTAAGAGTATATATTCAGCTTCTTAAGGAGCAGTAATGTGTTTGGGGAAGGACAAGAGAAGAAATAAAATAAATTATTGGTTTTCAACTGAACTGTTGTATAGATTACAAGAAAATAAGAAAGAGTAATAAGGAAACTTTGCTTGCTAATAATCAAGAAGCTATATCAACCATTACTTTACATGTTAAAACTCTCTTGGAAGAAATATGCAGGGATACTCTTAGATCTGGACACACCAGGGAAGTCTGTATCTTCAAATCTCACATAATGGAAGGTGATTTTTGGCCATCTCTTGTTTAATGTGCTTCATTCTAAAGAAATGAAGTGAAGTCGAAATTTAAGTACTGTTGGGGCCTCCCTGGTGGCACAAGGGTTAAAGTCTCAGAGCTATCAAGCTATTGCCAGCCACAGCGGCCTGAGTTCCATCCCAGGCCAGGGAGGTGACACATGGCATAGCAGACCTCTCCTGTCATGCCCCTGCTCCCCTCAGCAGTGTATTTCAGTCAGTCTGCCTGTTCTGTTCCCTGCTCTGTCTCTGGTGAATCCTCTCACCTTCCCTCCTCCCCCACCAGCCCTCTGTCCTACACCCCTGTTCTTGTATGCATAAATTAAAAAAAAATAAATCTTTTAAAGAAATTTGAGTGTTGTCCCTTGTGTCAACTGTAAAGAATGAGAATTCTAAGTCACTACATCATGATGACTGAGAAGAAAGGGAAGCTAGAGAGTCGTGAGTTAGTCATTATGATTAACAAAAGCCTCATTCATGTATCTGATACCGGTTTAGAGTTGATGTTACCATTCTTTCCCTTCAGCATATTGCCAAGAATACAGTCTCTGCGTAGCTTAGAGATTATCTATCACATCAAACTGGGTGAAAGTTAACATTTTTGTGCAAGTATACAGCAATGCCATATGTAAATACTTAATGAAAATGCCTTTGCTTATGGAAATTAGGATACATTTGCATGACTGCACAGTGTTGGCACCATGGAACTCTGTATGGAGAGGACTACGTTAAGAATTTTAACTTCTTGGGCCTCCCCGGTGGCGCAGCGGTTGAGCGCTGGGTTGCGAAACTGCCCACGGCCTCTGCGGTGCCGGTTCGATCCCTGGCTGCTCCCCGGCCACTGGAGGAGGGTCCCACATGGCGCGCAGACCTCTCCTGCCGCCCGCTGCTCCCCTCAGCAGTGTACTTCGGTCCTTCTGCCTGCTCTGCTCCCCCCTCTGGCTCTGGTGAATTCTCTCACCCTCCCGCGCTTCTGACTGTACCCAGTGCTTGCATAAATAAATAAATAAGGGCCTCCCCGGTGGCGCAGCGGTTGAGCGCTGGGTTGCGAAGCTGCGCGCGGCCTCTGCGGCGCCGGTTCGATCCCCGGCTGCTCCCCGGCCACCAGAGGAGGGTCCCACATGGCGCGCAGACCTCTCCTGCCGCCCGCTGCTCCCCTCAGCAGTGTACTTCGGTCCTTCTGCCTGCTCTGCTCCCCGCTCTGGCTCTGGTGAATTCTCTCGCCCTCCCGCGCTTCTGACTGTACCCAGTGCATGTATAAACAAAAAACAAACAAACAAACCAGCAAACAAATAAATAAAGCATGCCTCTATAAAAAATTAAAAAAAAATAAAAATAAATAAATAAATAAATAAATAAAAACATGCCTCTATTAAAAAAAAAAGAAAAAAAAGAATTTTAACTTCTTAAAACCAGACTATTATAAATCAGAGACATCCTGCAGGGGAGGAGGAGGGAGAGGGATCAGAGGGAGGGAGGGAGGAGCACAGGGGACTGAGGTGATGGTGCACAGGTGCATTGGGGAAGGAAATTCTATGGGGACTACACCTGAGGGTGGGGGAAAGCAAATATTGTCTAAAAAATGTAAAAATGATAAGTGTTAAAATTTTAAAAATCTAAAAAAAAGGAAAAAAAGAATTTTAACTTCTTGAGCTAACACTTTAAAGTTCCTATATGCCTGAAGGTAAAATTGTCTGATTTTGCTTATTTTCTGTGGACTTGGGGTTTGTTTTTGTTTTTTGCTTTTGCTTTGTTAACAAAAGGGTTAACAGTGGCACATGAATCTAAGAAGTCTTCATCTCTGTCAAATTTAAACTTTCTGTAAATCAGCAAACAAAGGTGTTTTTCAAGAATGAGTGTAGGAGATAAAATATCTAGGCTGCTTACTCAATTTTTTAATTAAAAACCTTAAATACTGCATTATTTTCAAGACTTTTTAAAAGATTTTTTCAAATTAATTTATTTATTTATACAAGCACTGGGTACAGTCAGAAGCGCGGGAGGGTGAGAGAATTCACCAGAGCCAGAGCTGGGAGCAGAGCAGGCAGAAGGACCGAAGTACACTGCTGAGGGGAGCAGCGGGCGGCAGGAGAGGTCTGCTCGCAATGCGGGACCCTCCTCCAGTGGCTGGGGAGCAACTGGGGATCGAACCGGTGCTGCAGAGGCTGCGGGCAGCTTCACAACCCAGCACTCAACTGCTGCACCACCGGGGAGGCCCTAAAGATTTATTTTTATTTATTAATGCATACAAGAACTGGAGGGTAGGTCAGAGGTGTGGGGTGTGAGAGGATTCACCAGAGACAGAGTGGGGAGCAGAATAGGTGCTTCAACTGAAATACACTGCTGAGGGGAGCAGCAGGTGAGACAGGAGAGGTCTGCTGCACCATGTGTTTAGCAACCTGGGCTGGAGATAGCTTGATAGCCCTAAGACTTTAACCCCTGTGCCACCAGAGAAGGCCTATTTTCAAGACTTTTAAGATAGCCTGCATATTCTAAAACTTTAGAGTTATAAGAGACTTTGGAGATAAATCATGTAATCCAAACAGCTCATTAGCTGGAGTCCCAAAATAGTGTAACTAGGTACCCCAAATCATACTCTCAATTTATTGCCAAAACTTAAAGTAAAATCTGGGCCTTTTAACTTCCAATGGGTGTCTCATTACTGTTAAATAATTGAATGTATCTAAAGCATATAGGAGTCAGGCATCCAGTATACATCCTAAATGTTAGCCCCTGTCGGAAGACTAGAAGCAAGCAGTGTAGCCACTCAGCACAAACACCAAAGCCCATCTGCCTCCCTCCAAATCCTGCTTTTGTCTTGACAACTTTCTTTTAAAAAAAAAAAATTATTTATTTATGCATACAAGATATGGGGTACAGACCAGAGATGTGGTGGGTAAGAGGATTCGCCAGAAACAGAGTGGGAAACAGAACAGGTGCATTGACTGAAATACACTGTGGGGGGGAGCAGCAGGCAGTCAGGAGAGGTCTGTTGCGCCATGTGGGTAGTTCCCTGGCCGGGGATCGAACTCGTGCTGCAGTGGCTGCTGGTAGCTTCATAGTGCTGCATCTGCATCTTAACCCCTTGCGCCACCAGGGAGGCCCCTGTCTTGACAACTTTCTTATCCTCTATGCCTTGGCTTTCTCATTGATTAAATAGTACCTAATTCATAGGCTTGTTATGCCAATTCAAGTTATTTAACAGTTCCTGCAGATAGTAAGCAACATATAAGTGTTTCTTAAACATATAAGGTGAGCATGATTATTCTAACCCTAGTAAATGGCACCATGATCACTCCTGCATCTGAATACCCATCAATCTGTCACATTACTGACATGGAGCAGGTATAATTTTAATGTGATACCTGAGCATCCTTTTTCAAGATATAATTAGGCTCTAAAAATAAGCATAAAGATTGACAGTTTAAAAACATAGATTAAGTAGATTTTAAGTACATGAAGCATGAGGAAAACAAATTACTGGTTCCACCTATGCAAATATATTAAAGATAATGTCCTGTCACTGATACATTTGGCTACTCTAAAACTCCTGAGGCTTTATAACTACCTTCCATTTAACACAAACAATTAAGCTGTAGCAATTACAATGTTTCATGCTAAATTAGTAGTTGTGTTCCCAGCCTATTCTGAAATATTCTGTATCCTGTCCAAGTTGAATAATGTTCCTTAAGGAAAATAACATTTTCCTTAACATTTTAACATTTTACAATATGGAAATTTTCTGATAACCAGTGTTCTAAACGTAATAAACAGTTACGTAAGCTACATATATCTTAACAACATGAAAACATCAGAAGACATATTCTATGAGAGGAATAAGGTCATTTTATTGGCTCACCAGTAATATCATCCTATACCCATTTTCTTCAGAGTCCTTATCACCATCTGACATAACGTGTAATCACATATTTGCTATCAGTGTTCCCCCACTTTCATGTGAGCTCCAGGACTTAGCTTTACTTGCTGCTGTATCCCTGGTATGTGCAGAAGTGCAGCTATATCGTAGGCACTCAGTAACTATTCCTTTTATTAAGTGGGTTATTAGTTATTTAATTAACATATTAATTTAGTAATATATTGATTTATTGATACATCCTGTGTGATCTGACCTTGTCTATTAACTTGTACAAAGTGGCATCACCTATTTCAGTATCTTCAGTATCCATTTTTTCATTTAAAATTTCAATTATCTCACCAAATATGAAAACCCTATCTAATCTAATTTCATCCTCAGAAATCAACTAATCTTGCTGCATCATTATCTGTATTTCTTTTCTTCAAATCAGTCTTTCTTATGAGTTACAATTAAACCTTTTGGTCATCCCTCCCCAGATGCACATGATGAATAACAGGCAGATAGTTGTCGGGTTCAGGGGCTCATTTGTTTTTCTTACAGGGTGATTCCTGGGAGGTATTCTCCTTTTCCATCCCTCAGAGGACTGATAAATTAAATCAATGTGCTTTTATGGAGGAAGTTTTACTGCTGTGAGTGTTTAGGGGGAAAATAAGAAAACATTTAAAAAATATACCAACATTCTATAGCAACTAGAAGGCCTTAGAGAATTGTTGTCCGTGTTCCGTGACAATGAGGACATATTTCAGTTATAGAGAACAAGTCATGGCCACTTATCAAAGTCAGATTGAATAGGCAGTTAGGTTTTCAGCTATCCATTCAGAAAAGGAAAAGTGCATTCAAAGGTAAACTCAGTAATACATTCTGTTTACAGCAGGTCTGGGATGATCTGCAGATTCCTTTCCCAGGCTCTGGCACCTTCATCCATGTGGCTATGCAGTGAGGTACCCTATTAGTACAAAGAGGACCCCCTCCTCCAGCCATATTATGTCAGCCCACTTGTACAGAAAGAAAGCCCAGGTAAATGAATAACCAGTACACAGCAGGGACAAAAGCAAAAACAATAAATATTAGGGTGGGGGGGGGCAACTTCATTTTGAAAACTCAAAATAGTTATCTCAGAGAAGAAAATATCATGTTGAAATGACTTATTGGGAATGAGTTTTATATTTATTTTTAAATTATGTTTGGTGGTGTTGGGGGTTATAACTGTTTTGGTGATGAAGGCCTATAAAAAACTTAATCTAGCGCTGGGTCAAAGAGAGAGTGTCCGAATTAACCAAGTTGAATCAATAATAGTACTTATATGCCTAGTCATAGTTGATTCGTGCAAAGAGAGTTCATGACTACTATTTCATCAGATTTTTTAACTTAAAACTAGTATCTGGTAAACTCCATATTTTTGTTTATTTTTTTTTTAAATAATAAATTTTATTTTTATATTCTCCCATACAATTGCAAACCCCCCATTCTGACCCCAATCCCTCCCCTCCCGCCCCCCACCCCCAAAAAGTGTCTCTGGTTCATAGTTTTTTGTTGATTTTGATTTTCACTTTCTTATAGTTATTCATTTTCCTGGTCCCTTATTTAAGTTTTCTAGATTCCTGCTATGAGTGAGACCATCCGGTATTTTTCTTTTTCTTTTTGGCTTATTTCACTGAGCATGATCCCTTCCAGCGCCATCCATGTTGCTGCAAATTGCATGTGTTTATCTTTTTTGAATGCTGAAACTCCATATTTTTAAATGACTATGTAAAGCAAAGGCTGCAAACTGTGGAAGAGCCAATATAACCAGCAGATATTTTCCACTTTTAATTATTATAATAATTTATTGGTTTGCACCAGTGTATATAATTTAAGGTTAGGTTCCTACCTACTCAGATGTATGCTGCCACACCATATCCACCACCAAAGCACCCAGAGTCCATCAGAGACCCACAAGGCCCCTTCCTCCTTTGTTCCCATGCTACCTTCCCAACCCCTATAGTAGTCTCAATTCTGTATTCATATTTCTGTGGTTTGTTGGTTTTTTGTTTTGGGGCTTTTTTTGGTTTTGTTTTGTCAGTTCTTTGTTTTGTTTCTCTATATTATTTGTTTTTCTCCTTTTCACTTATTTCACTTAGCATAATCCCGTCCAGTTCCATCCATGTTGGTGCAAATGGCAAGCGTTCATCTCTTTTTATAGGTGAGTAGAATTCCATTGCATACATATACCACATTTTCCTGATTCATTCCTCTGTCCTTGGACACTTAGGTTGTTTCTATACCTTGGCTTTTGTAAATAGTGCTTCAGTGTAAATATATCCCTTCAGATTAATGTTTTGTGTTCTTCAAGTAGATACCTAGGAATAGAATTGCCTGATCTTATGGAAATCTTTTTTTTTTTTAAGATTTATTTATTTATACAAGCACTGGGTACAGTCAAAAGCGCAGGAGGGTGAGAGATTTCACCAGAGCCAGAGCAGGGAACAGAACAGGCAGACCGACGAAATACACTGCTGAGGGGAGCAGCAGTAGCAGGAGAGGTCTGCTCGCCATGTGGGACCCTCACCGGCAGCTGGGGATGGAACCGGTGCTGCAGAGGCTGCAGGCAGCTTCACAGCATGGCGCTCAACCGCTGCACCACCAGGGGAGGCCCTGGAAATCTATTTTTAATATTTTGTGGAAACTCCAAACTGTTTCGCATAGAAGTTAACCAGCCAGCATTTCTGCCAACAATATACAGGAGCTCCTTTTTTCTCCACATCATTACCAACATGGTTGTTTCTGTTTGTTTGTTTGTTTGTTTGTTTGTTTGTTTGTTTGTTTTCCATATGGGCCGTTTCCCATGGGAGTGAGGTAGTGTCTCACTGTGGTCCTGATTTGCATTTCCCTGAACATAAGTGATGGTGAGCAGTTTTTCCTCTGCCTCTTGGCCAATGTATGTCTTCTTTGCAGAGGCACCTTTTTACCTCTTCTGCCAATTTTTGTTTGGGTTCTTTTCTTTCTTTTTATTGAGTTGTATGAGTTCTTTCTAGTTTTTTCATTTTAGCCCCTTCACATATTTTCTTAGTAGTCTTCCTGGTGTTTGGAATCTTTTTTAAATTAGTTGACACTTAAATGTTAGAAAATTTTATATAAAAATCTTGAGTACAAGTTCTATTGAAAAAAACTTGATTTGACAGCACTGAGTAGATATTTCCCCATAGCAACCATTGTCTGGGTGCCTAGGTAATCCTGAGGGGGATACACAGACCCTAATTCATAGATTGACAAATGTTTGCTGTAAAAGACCAAATTGTTAATATTTGTGTAGCTTTGCAGGCCATATTTTATCTCTTATAACTACTCAACTGTGCCATTGCAGCACAAAAGGAGTCATAGTCAATACATAAACTTTACTTACAAAAACCAGCCAGCAACTGAAATTTGGCCCATGGGTCACAGTCTGTCAACCTCTGCTGTAGTTTCTCATAATGAGCACAATTGCCTATTTTCTTCACCAGCCCACCTCACTCATTTGTACTCTCTACCAGGCCCCTGTGGTATTTGTATAGGTAACCCCTAAACCTGTCAGTGCTCAAATTCTTTGCTTGTTGGACAAATCCATGAAGCCCTAGCACAGAAAAATGCAAAGATGTAAGACTGTGGTAGGTAGAATTGTCCCCCCAAAATGTGCACTCCCTAAGCCATTGAGCTTATAGAATATGTTAAACTGCAGGATAAATGGGACTTTGTAAATGTAATTAAGGTTATGAACCTCAAATAGGGATAATGTTTTATATTATCCAGGGAACTCCTTAAATGCAAAAAAAAATCTTTCTCCAGCTATAGTAGAAAAGAGTTGTGGAGGGAAATTCAGAGATTCCAAACATGAGAAGGATTTGCTGGCTCTGAGAGATACAGAGCAGCTTCTAGGAACTGACGTCAGCCACCAGTTGACAACCAGCAAGGTAACAGGAACCTAAGTCAGATATTTAGAATAGCATTCACTTTCAGAAAAAAATTGAGAACCCCTAAATCATATCCAGCAATATAAACCAATGTTACCTCAAAAAAAATACAATTAAAAAATACAATTTAAAAAAATGAAAGACTGGAAACATCCTTCATTTTCATCACAGCCCCTTCATTCTCCAGATGAGCTGTATAGTGGGTAAAGAAAACTATAAAGAACTTCTAAATTACAGGTGTATTATTTTAAGAGTTCTGACTTCCAGTCTGGTAGTCCTCAATCAACATTCATTATCTCTAATTCAAATATAAATTTGAGACTAGTGGTCAGAAGTAGATGTCAGTTTGCTCCAGAGTTCTTACCAGCCTGGAGTTTGGGTTTGATTCACCACCTGGAGCACCAGCTGATGTTGGGGGGACAGGGCTTTTTCATTGCTATCTGGGAGGTCCTTGTCATCTTGTGGCAAATGAGCCTCAGCCGAATCAGGTTCTGTGACTGGTTTGTTTGTATCTTTCCATTTGTGGCACAATAAAGAATAGCAATAAAGAAAAATGTTAAGATATGCTGCCATTGTTTTCAACCTTTTTTCAATATGATATGGAGAAGAATACTTGAAAATAACAATTTATTTGTAGGTAGTAACATACCACATCAGAGGCAGTGAGAAGGATTTTCCCTGTTTGCATGTCATAAAGGAGTGCATTGTCTTAAAGAATTTAAAAATATAATCAAATCTATAAAAATTCCAACTTCTTTTATTGTCCCATGCACTGACCATCCCTACTGTCCCTGCCTTTGGACACTACTATGATTGATCCTGTTGTTATCCAAAATGAACTCCTAGTTTCAGCACAGCTTTGATATATTGAGTCCAATTGGAATGTCAACATGTGGTATGAAAATTTGTTCCACACCTTTATCAAACCTCCCAAATCCTTAGTAATGACCTTTGTACTCTTTCTCAGAGCAGAAATGTGATTCTTTTTCAACATATAAGTCCTTTTGTTCTTCCTCTTCTTTTCCACTATCATCATCCTAGTTTTAACCTCTTAAATTCTGAACATTTGGTTATTTTTAGAACATTTTCATTGTAAATATTTTGGGCATCTTTTATATTACTTATATAGGAATAAATTTTATTTCTTTGTTTTTGTTGCTCTCACAGAAGAAAAGAAATTGTTTCCAAACAGGAGGGCAAAATAGAGCATGTCAGTGACCACATATTCTTGATGGGTCATGGAAACTAAGATACCTTACAAGTTGGACATGTCCATTTATCCTACTTCAGTTGAAAAATTATGTGACTTCATAACTTTCTTCCTTTTCCTTCTTAATTTACTCTTCCTACTGGTTTCATTCTCATTGCTTTCATCCCCTGCATCCTATAATAAATAAATAAAATGCCAAATAACAGATCATGCATACAAATAAATTTGATGTTAAGATAGTATGATGATGGGATAGCTAAATTTCAAATTGAGTATAAGTAACTTCTGTAATGAGGTAAATTTTGTCACTTCTATATCCACTTGAATAATTCAAAATTAAGAACCCCAGGCCTCCCTGGCGGTGGAGGCGGTTGAGCACAGCGCTGTGAAGCTGTCCGCAGCCTCTGCAGTGCCGGTTTGATCCCCGCTGGCCTCGGAGCAATCCACATGGCGAGCAGACCTCTCCTGTCGCACCCACTGCTCCCCTCAGCAGTGTATTTCATCACTCTGCCTGTTCTGTTCCCCACTCTGTCTCCGGTGAATCCTCTCACCCTCCTGCGCATCTGGCTTGTACCCCAGTTCTTGTATAAATAAAATCTATAAAAAAAAAAATTTAAGAACGCCAACATTCTGCTGACAGGCTGAATTTTCTGTATCTCCTTTTATATGCGCACCAAAAATATCATCAAGTAAAGCGTTTGTCCAGTTGGTCAAGTTTTCTAACTTTTACCACTCTGAGGTATTTTATATTATTTATTCCTAAATAAATTTACCAAACCCATTTCAGCTAAAGAAAAAGTCCTCTTTATGTGACTTCTGTCATTTTAAAGTCTCTAACTTTTTGAGCAAAGGTATACGTACCTAAAGAATTAGATAGTCTTTCATTTTCCTTACCGTCATTTTTATTGTATTAATAATTATTTTATTTCAAAAACATAGTTGCATTCATACAATGCTATGTTGTGACTATATTTTACATGTGTAAACAAATGTCATAATCAAACTGTTTTATAGCTTGGGGAAATAAAAAAAAAACAAAACAACATTTTAAGCCAAAATAACCTAACTTTTAGAATGTAGTTCTTTTCTTTGACAGGGTCCCTTGAAGGACTTGTCAAAGGCTATTCCCAGCAGGAAGTCAGGCAGTGAGGCTGACGCTGGGGTTGGGGAGTGCAGGTATCTCTGCAACAACAGTAGGCTGAGTCAGCCCAGCAATCCCAGGACCAAAAGCTAACACTGAAAATCATTTAAATGTTTAAGAAAAAAGAAATTGACTTTAGTATTTTTTCATGAGTTTGTAAATTCTTCATTGTGACTTGAGGGGGGAAAAAAAGTGTCAGGTTAGTGTCAAAAACCACATTCTAAAATGTTTTGAGCCATTGTCTTTTTCAAGAGCAGGTTCTGAGAGATTATACAAATATATGTCCAGATTGGCTTCTGAGGAACAGTTATACCAATTCTCAGTAAAAATAATTTACCCTCAGTAGACTAAAGGAGGAAAAAAGAATTTCACTTTATGTGTTTGTTTACAATTATGACACATTATTACTATTGTTACTGTATTAAAGATATCACAGATACGGTCTTTTTAATGATTTTAAAGTTTCACTTAGAAAATTATAGTTTTTTTCACTCCAGATAATCTTATACTTAGATCATATGACATTTGTGAGACATAGTTTAATTTTTTCTAGTAACTTAGGATCTTATAGAAATATATGTATAAATTTTCCCACATACTTTTGATAGGACTCTAACAGTGATAGTCTTAACACTTTGTACTTAACACTTGCATATCTTCACCACTTCTAAAATGCATTGCCATAAATATACATAATTATCTTTTGATAAATGTTTTTATATACATATCTCTTTTTTATCTAAATCTTCCTTGCCAGGAACATTATAACAAAGGAAACACAGCAGACTAACTTTTGACTTAGTTTGGCCCATTAAAGATCCCCACACATACATATCGAAGGAATCAAATGAGAAACCTTTAACACTCCTTCTAGCTTTAAACTCCAACCTGCAATTGAACAACACTATACTAAAAATGAAAACTTTGTGGGGCATTTTTTCTCAGCATAGCCCTCAAGATCGTAAATCTTCATTTTACAAAGGAGAAATTTGAGGCCCAGAGTCTTGCCCAAGACTACAAGGTGGATGGAAAATACAGTTTACACAGGTCCTCTGATTTTCAAAACACTAGTCTGTTTCCTAAATGCCAGAGATTCAAGCCCAGAGAAATTCATTGTATTAACACTCACCTGAATGCATACAATCCTTTTCCAAAGATAAAACAAAGGTAATTCACCTACCTACCAACCTTAGAGTTTCACTAAAAAGAGCCTGAGAACTAAGACATAGTATGTACCTCTGACTCCATATAGGTGCTTTAAATCTTTTTTTTTTTTTTCAATTGAAAGATAGATTTAGTTCAGTCCTTGGATTTCCTTTTATGTACTAGGATGATCAGAGTATTGACATAGCTATAATAGCTGAAACAAATTTAGTGGATGCCTGCTTTATCCCACCTCTAGTAGAGTATTTTTATTCTTCGATCTTTCTATTATACTTAGTTACAATGTGAATGATGTTTGAGTAAAATAAAATAAAATTCTATGACCATGATTCATCCTGATTTTTCTCCTAAGTATAAGTCCTTTTGGGGCCTTGATTATTTAATCCATAAATCTGCTATGAATATAATCATAGTTATAGTTACAAGTATTTTCATACAGGCATTTTTTATACTTAATTTAATATTCCCAAAACAACCGAGGAAACCTCTACTATTACCTGCATTTTTGGCAAGGCAGAAATAGGTTCACAAGTGTTAAGTGCCTTGTTCAAGGTCATCTGACTGTCAAGGAAGAATGGGAATTATTTGGAGATTTTCCCACATCACCACAGCCGGAGAATTGACCGAGATAGAATTCCATTTCTATTACATAATGTTATCTGCATGAGTCATAAAATTTGTACACTCAACTTCCTCCATTATCTATTCTTTTTCAATTATGTGTCTTTCCTGTGTACATGTGAGAATCATCTTAACTAAGTCACCACCAGCTTAAACGTCGTAAGTCCAAATCCTGGGTGCTATGGGCAATCTACTATGGGTAAGACAGTCAAACACACAAAGTAAATAAGACATGGTCTCTTTCATAAAGAATCTTACAATATGAAATAGGTAACAAAGTGTTATTGCAGAAGTTGAAGGCTTCTGTGTGGTAAAGATAGATGTAGTTCAGTTACCTCGCCTTGGGGATAACAAAGGCAAACACACCAGACAGATAGTGCAGAGAGGCTGTGGGCTGGATGGTGAACACTGGAGCTGACACCCCTTCCCGGGAAGGAGTCTACACTACTCCTAGCATTCATTGTCATGACAAAATGACCCCAGTGTGGCCAGTTTTCCAAATTTTGCAGGAAAGCCAGATATCTGGATTTTTATGCAAAATGTTAGGATTTTTAATGTCAGCAATTGATTTAAAGTATAAACTAGGAAATAAATAAGGAAGTTACTGAACTACCACATAACTAGGTCTCAAAAAACTAGCAAGGTGTTCAGAATATGAGTAGTACTAGAGGGCCCCTGGGCACAGTGAAAGCAGCAGGGGTATCTAGAGTGGTACTAAGAGATAATGGTCAAAATATTTAGCCATTAGTACAACTAACAAAAATAACAAACTGTTATTGTACCTACATCATATCAGTTCTCTTCTCTTTTTAAATTAATAATTTAATGGAATTAACATTGGTTTACATAGTCATTTGCATTTAAGAATTGTAGGGTGCCCCTCCCTTCAGATATTGTTGCCATAGCCTGGCCACCACCAAAGAACCCATGGTCTAAATGCTTTGTATGTATTAATTTACTTGGTCTCAAAACAACCCATTGAACTAGGTATATTCTCATCCCCATTTCTTTGACTTTCTTTGAGTCAATCAATGACTAGTTAACTAGATCACATATCTTTTAAGGGCTAGGATTGAATATAGGCAATTGGCTGCAGAATACAAGTACTTTACACATCCTTAATGAATACAGTCATTAACAGTGCACCCACATCATTGATGGGGTACTGAGAAGTTAGGACAGGGTTCTAGAAGGTCTCTGCAGGACCAGGTTAATTCTTCAGCAGAAGAGTTGTAGAAAGGTTTGACAGTACAGGGGAGCAGAATGACAGCTAGAGAAGTTTAGAGACTTTGTTGGGGGGAGTGGGGGCAGGGTATGTAGCAGGGAAGGCACCATGGTCTGCAGCTATTTTCCAATCAGTTAAGAAACATCTCAGCATTTACAAACAGGAAAGCAATATAATTTCAACTGACAAATCTGGTTGCACCACTATGTTTGACAAACAGTGCATGAAGCACAGTAAATACTAAGTAGATGTTAGTGGTGAGTATTATTGCGCAGGCACCATGCATTGCTAGGGATCTGTTGTACCTATTTTAGGTTACCTCATGGGCCCCTGACTCATGGGTGATGGCCTATCTAAGCAGCTCTCAATGCTGAACACAGTTAGAAAATCTCTCAGATGGGTGAGGATATATCAAGCAGTCTGAATGTCCTCAGAGGGGCAGCATGACTGACGTTCTTATGCTTGGGCTCAGTAGCACTGCTATTATTAAACAGGCAGAATGTTTTATACATAGAGTCTTCAGGTAGTCAGGGAAATTAGCCAAGCTTAAACAGAAGGGACATTTGACCTGAAGATAGAGAAGGGTGAAATAAACCGAGTTGGAAAAACCATGAGCATAAGCACAGATGTGCAATTTCATTTTGATCACATGGCATAAATATGCAAATCAAATTCATGCTTCATTTAGAACATCTCAAAATTCTACTACAACAGGTTGATCCTGATTTCTTTTGACATTTTCCACCGAGAAACTTTTCCCACTTCAGGAAAGTTTCTGCTGTCATTCCATCAGATAGTTTCTTTTCTCATACACAAGAATGCCCTTAAAGAATATTTCATATGCAACATATTTCTATAATTCAGGCTTTTCTCATGGCAATGCTTTTGCTTAATATAAGTTTGTCGTTTTGCATTTCAACTCAATGATTTTACCAAATTAACTAAAAGAAGTTTGACCTAATTTTACCTAATAAGTTTCCTTCCAAAATAAGAACCAGTGTAATTAGATTCTAAATATCACTGATTTTATTCACTTGCTTTTAATTTTCTCTAAGTTACCTTTTAATGCCAATACTTTAAAAACCTCTCTTTTAGCCTTATATATTGGCTAGTCTGAAGTATAATCATTAATGAATTTTCTAAACACTCCAATTTCCTAAATGAGGGTGGTACATGAAAGAAGACAGACAAAAAGGCTCAAGTTTCAACCTCTGCTAGAAATAATGGGAAAAAAAGAATCAATGATTATCAAATTTAGGAGACTATGTCAAAGAGGAGAAAATGTGCCATCCATTTCTATAAAGTGTATTCTTCAAAGAAAAGGAAGAAAAATGTATTCAAAACATTTACAGTATAGATAAGTCAAAGAACACATCACAAACTTTCATCAACTAATTTAAAAATACCTATACCTATTCTGGCAACTTGGTTAAAGAAAATAATCCAAAATATATAAATTTATATGTATATCCAGTGCCACCTTTATTATAATATTGAAATGTGAATGTAGCATAAAAAAACAATTGAAAAAGTTCAACTCATTATGGTAATTCTGTTTAATTAATTTGCCATTTAATAAGAACTACTTTTCAAACTCAGTGTAATAGTTTTTTATATCTTAAATGTATTTATTTATTTTCCTACAATATTGTTCATTTGGGGGCAGTATTTGATTTCTTCCCTCAGGTGTAATCCCCGTAGTTCTGTTACCACTGTCATACCCATGATCCATCACCACAGCCCCTGGTG